TTCTCTAGATTTTCCTAGTGTTTGACCAGTTTTATTAGACTAGTAGAACACAGTCCAGACCTAGGTTAAATTATTTATGTGATGCCTTAGGCAATTCTGGTTTTGCAACTTGCATCCAGGCATCAGAGGTATAATGCTAGACATTATCTTTAAAGAGTAGTCATTATGACTGTTGGTTTTCTCTCTACAGTAGCTATTTCACTAGAAAACCCAGTTCTGTTACGGTGAATCATACTTGCTTAGATTGAGCTTCTGGGCTGTTGACTTCTAAGTGTTTCTGGCATAAGATACAATTGAAATGGGGAAAATAATCTGCATTCCAATTTGATTGCTGTTCCTTTCCCATAAATGCAGTGAATGTCTCTACCACTTTTTTCTTTCATTTGCCCTTGAAACCAAGTGAGACAACGCATAGAAAGAGTGCTTTCTAAAGAATATGGTATCGATTGTGCCATTACAGGTCTTAAGAAATAATACTTTTTCGTAGTAGAAGGAACACTTTTAGCGTCATCATCCTCAGGTTTTAATTCTGGCTCTAGAGCTGATTTAGTTACGTGACCTTGGGCAGATGACTTCACGGCTTTGGTCCTTGGGTAACTGTCAGATGAGCGGCATGATTGGGACTTCGGGGTCTCTGGCAGAATGGTGCCGTCAGCGGTAAGAGCATCTGTTTTGCGACACGGGTGTGGCAGAGGCATAAGAGTAAGTATGCCGAGTGAGCCCTCCTGTCAGCAGCTGAGATCACAGTTAAAGATTCATTTATTTTTTATTTTGTGTGTGCGTGAGAACTTTGATTCGGTAGGTAACTGCTCATTTCCTTCTGTTTCATTTAGTTTTCTTCATAACTTGGTGTGCATTTCTTTTCCTTATACACACATAAAGTTTGTCCTGTCCTTCATTATGTTCTTCGTTGTCGTTTCCATTTCACTTTCCTTGTGTTTCATTCCTGTATCTTTCTTGTTTAGACCAAGTGGAACACGCAGCTGGCAGTAGCTTCTATGTAGGACCCTTCAGGAACCCGATGGTAAGTGCACACGTGTGCTTACCAGGCTCCCAGCGGGCTCTGCCGGACCAGTGCTAGAGGCACGTCCCGCCTCCCAGACACTAACGAGCCCCCGCTCCCCTTTGTAAGAGTCATTACAGGTTGTTTTTGGTTATAGGCTTGTTTTTGTTTTTAAATTTGATTACAAATAGAACAGAAACCAAGTATGGGGGGGGGGGATTGCTTATCTAAGGAAACGTAGAAGGTTCCACCACCTGTTCCTCTGTTCCCATTGCAGTATTTGGCTTTGTGAGTGACACCAAGCATACCTAAGTGTGAGTCGGGACACCTGGGTCCTACTTTCTGTTCTCTCGTGGACTGATTAGTCCCCCGTGGGCCCTGGCTTTCACTTTCTCTCAAAATGGCAGGTAGGACAGGTGGTTTCGATACAGCCTCTTCCATCTCCAGTCTACAATCCTAATGGGAAGTAACTTGGGTGTTAGATGGTTCCGATTAACATCGTGAGAATCATTTCATGTGTCAGGTAATATCAGTGTCATGAGTCATCTCTTAGATTCATGATAGACTCATGTCCCTGAAAAACTAAGTGTCAGCATTCACTGAAGTCACTTTGGAGGGAAGTTCAATTGTCCCGTACTTTGCTTTTTGCAATTCTTCAGATACTTTTAAAATTCTTAAGTATATAGACTGCAGAGCCCCCGTTGTGTCTTTAGCGGCCTGTATTGGTTCAGCCCAGTGGTTCTTCACCTGGGGAGACCTCCCCAGACATTTGGCCATGCCTGGAGATCTGCCTGTCAACAGTTAAAAGTGGGGGTGCTGCTGGCGTCTAGTGAGTGGATGCTGCTCAACGTCCTTCAGTGCATCACACAGCCCCACGACGACGGAGAGGATCATTCGCGGGACGCCCAGGCAGCCTGTGGCCATCTGAATAGGATGCAGATGTCCCTACTTCAAATGGTTTCTCTTCACGGGGGATCAAGGGCTTCCTGGTCTTGTTTTCTAAAGAGGGTGCCTGGAAGTGGGGGGAGGGGGGTGGGGGCACTTCTCACTAATTAGGTTTGGAGAGTCCAGAAGTAGACCTTGACGTTCAGTATCAGCTAGATGTTTTCCTATTCTTTTAGGCAGGGAATAAAACTTAAAAGAGTACTTTTACGTAGCAGGCAGTTACGTGATTTCAGTGTGAATATGTATTAGTGAATGATATTATTAAAGTTGTGCTGTTTTATTGTAAGTTATATCTAGAAACTTCACTTATTTAATACTGTTTACATATAGGCCAGTTTTTTGTGTGGCCTGCTAACCAGCTTTGTATAGCATTTGAGAGGTTGCAGAAAAACTTTGAATTGCTTCTGTAAGGGATTGTATTACAACAGGTTGACATCTGTTTTGCTATTAAATTTCACGGTGTGACTTTTTAAGAAATATATATGCATAACAGGCACAGTTTACACTATACCTCCATTTTTACTTATTTCAAAAGCCCATACCTATTCAAAGTAGAAAGTTAGAGGTAAGAAAGGGTCATTTCTTGGGCTGTTTGGGATACATGAGGTGGTGCTGATGATGTCTTACAGCAACTTTGTGGTTTTGGTCCAGGGAAAAACTTTACTGAATAAAACTTCAGAATTAAGCATCCTAGGGCACCAGGAATCCTTTATGTGGTTCTCAGCAGACATGAACTGCAGCATCGGGGCAGTTATGTTAGCAGCCAGTGATCATTTATATTTGTATTGTTTGCTACCGGTAATCTGATCTGCACTGGGTATCACACACAGGGAAGGGCATAGGTCATCGTGAGGATAAGAAAACTAGCTGAAAGTAGATCGAATCCAAACTTCCTAAAGCACAGCTGGATTCCTCAAGAACCTTGTCATCACAGATTTAAGCTCAGTGCTGTTAAGGTGGCAAAAGGAGAAAGAATTGAAAGAGGAGGTTACCTCTTTTAGTGTGAAAAGGTGTTTTCATGTCCTTGCCCTTTCCAGGGGATTGGTTTATAATCTTTCCGCCTGCAGGCTCTTGGCTTCTGTTGCCACCAGAGTGTGGTTCCAGTAAAGTGCTTGCTTGTGTCCTGAGGTCCATTTTAGATGCCTTTGGAAATGAGGGATGGACATGTTAGCAGGAATTTATTTGGGCAAACTCTTTAACATAGTTGCAGAATGCATCAGTTTTTTTTTTTTTTTTTTTTTTTTTTAAATGGGCTTGGGGCGCCTGGGTGGCTCAGTCGGTTAAGCGGCCGACTTCGGCTCAGGTCATGATCTCACGGTCCATGAGTTCGAGCCCCGCGTCGGGCTCTGTGCTGATGGTGCAGAGCCTGGAGCCTGTTTCAGATTCTGTGTCTCCCTCTATCTGACCCTCCCCCATTCATGCTCTGTTTCTGTCTCAAAAATAAATAAACGTTAAAAAAATACTTTATAAAAAAAAAATGGGCTTAAAGAATTAGGGATTTAAAATGGTATTTAAACATTTTTTATGTCTGTTTTTGAGAGAGAGAGAGAGAGAGAGAGAGACAGAGTGCGAATGGGGGAGGGGCAGAGAGAGAGAGAGAGAGACAGACAGACAGACAGACAGACATAGAATCTGAAGCCGGCTCCAGTACAGAGTCGCTGCAGGGCTGGAACTCAGAAACTGCGAGATCATGACCTGAGCAGAAGTCGGGCGTTTAACCTTGACTCATTTAGCCACCTATGCGCCCCTAAAATAGTACTTTAGAGTTTGCTTTTTAAGACTGACAAATTAAATGGCTGAGTATGAAGTATTGTTTCATCTCTTAAATACCTGTCAGAATCTGGTGGTGCTTTTTGAGGATTCCTATGTGCTTGTTGCTATCATCGATGCTTCCATTTTTGCGTTCTGAACTGTTCAGTGTTATTTGTGCGTCTCACCTCATTTTTATCTGCTGTTCTATGTTTTAGTTAACTGGGCTTCTCTGTAGTGAAGTTCTGTTATGGAGAACACCGTTTTCCAGGAGCAGTGAGCGAGTGCGTTCTGGTTTGTCATTTTAGTAATTCAGAGGTGGAGGTGGTGGGAGGCTTGTTTTGCGAGAGGAAAGGACAGGTCTGCTAGGTCCAGCGGGAGAGTGCTGCTGAAGGAGAAGGAGGGGTTTGGGGAAGACGAAGATGAGCCTGTTCTGACTCTGAAAACTACAAACCCAAGAGCTACCAGGAAAAAGAACCTTAGAGTTGAAAAAAACAGAAACAAAGGGCCACAAATTCTGGCCAAATCCCAAAGAGACGGAGCTTCCAAACCTTCAGCATTCGTACTTTTCTAGAGAAGGGCTTGTCCCTGTGGACTGTCTAGTGACCTGAGCTCGTTCCAGCTTGTCCGAACTGTGTTGCTTTTTAATCTTCCCTTCTGAACTGTGCTGTCGGTTGGAATGCAGTGGGTGTTTCCTGAATTCCATTTTTGCAGTTGTTAATGAAATCCTGAATCGTACTGAACTTGGAGTCGGGTCCCTGGGGACCCTCAGAATTCCTGCTGTCCTGACAGTGAATTCTTCATAATTCCTCTGCATGTGATATCTGAGCTGTTGCACACACGGATCCTTTGTCGTCCAACAGAGTCTGCTTCTCTTGCTTCACTTTCACAATTATGGACAAGCTTATCTCAACTAAAAGGGACCCAAGTTATACCATATTGTCTTCCCCTAAAGTGCTTCTTGCACCAATCAGACTTTTGCCAGTCCCTGTTATTTGTGTGGTACTGAAAGTCAGTTTTAGTATCCAGTTTTCCTCTGACATCAATATCGTTAACGTTTTCTCGAATAGATGATTCATTAGTTTGAGGAGTCTCAAAAATACAGGGTTTTGGGTTTCTTTTTCTTCTCTGACATGATTTACACGTATTCATATTCATCATCTGTTCATTTCTTTAGAAATCCGATGTGATAATTGTCCAGAAGTATACAGTTTGCTGTCATTGGATTAGTAATTGTCTTTTTCAAGAATTCAGGGTAATAGTGAGTAAGTAAACAAATAAATATTGTGTTTTAGGGAAGAAAAAATCCCAGGAAAGTAAAAACAAAGCAAACAAAGCTGAAGACACACCCCTGAAGACAAGCGAGCCAGATTCTGCTTCTGCAAATATGAGAGATTCTGCGGAAGGTAAGCTTCGAAGTTGGACTTGTTCGGGTATGTATCACCAGTTACTGTAAATCACAGATACTGTAAATCTCCTTGGAATGCCCTTCTGAGAATCCCCCAAGAACTGTAAAGGGTTAACAGCGAAAAGCCTGCCTGTATTAATTAATTTTTTATTTTTATTTTTTAGCCGTATTTATTGAGGGGGAGGAGTGGGGCGTGAGCCAGGGAGGGGCAGAGATAGAGAGGGAGAGATAATCCCAAGCCGGCTCGGTGCTGTCAGTGCAGAGCCTGATGCAGGGCTTACTCTCCGGACCCTGAGGTTATGACCTGAAATCAGGAGTCCGATGCTTAACCCACTGAACCGCCCAGGTGCCCCAAGGCTGCCTGAATTTAATAACGGTGAACTGAGCCTCCACATCCCACCTTCCCTTAAAAGTATTTTTAAAGACCTTCTTTGTTAAAAATAAAATTATTCCCTGGTTAAAATAAAATGAAATGTACTATATGATCATATTTATAAATAATTTATGAAGTTCAAAACCATCAAAACAAATCTCTGGTGCCAGAAGGCTTCTGGGACGGTGGTGCTAGTCCCACCCCTGAGCTGTGGGGTGAGCTGTGGACTGTGGGCATCAGTATTGACTTTGTAAACATTTTGTTTAGCTAAATGCTTCTGATTTACACACTTAAATCGTTTGTTTTGCACTTCAGTTAAGAGTTTACTTGAAATACCAAACACCTTTGATTTTATACATCAGCATGAAAAGTGTGCAGAGTGAAAAAAAGCGTTCTTGTTTTTTGTTAGAAATTAACTTCCTAGTTTATTCTTTGTGTTTCTCCACACAAAATTTTCCTTTTTATCATCCCTTCTGAGGATTAACATTCTAGGCCCTCCATGATGGAAGAATTCAGAGAGAGGCAAGGATTGAAAGTCAATCAGAAAGGCTGGTGGCTCTGTGCTCTTGGCAGTTGAGCAACCATATTGAGACTGTTGATGATAGAAATGAGGGAGGTGTGTCTTCTGATCTGGTACGTGGCAGATACGTGCTTGCTAAGAATTGCTCATAGTGACCCAAACAGGCAAATTTCAATAGAGCCTTGTGACTCTTTCGAGAACATTCATAGGTACCTGCCTGGGTAGACGCTCAGTTAGTTAAGCGTCTGACTCTTGGTTTTGGCTCAGGTCACGATCTCACAGTTCACGGGATCGAGCGCCTGCATCGGGCTCTGTGCTGCTGGTGCAGAACCTGCTTGGGATTCTCGGTCTCTGTCTCTCTCTCTCACTCACTCACACTCTCTCCCCCTCCCCTGCTTGCACAATCTGTTTTTCTCTCAAATAAATAAAAAAAATTTGTAGAGAAAAAAACGCAACAAAATATTTTGGATGCCTTTTAAACCACTTTATTAGCACTGTTGGAGGTGATGACATTCATAAAAGATTATAATTTCCTGTGGCATTTTATGAAGCAAGAACAGATAGGTTGACTAAGTTCTACATGCTGATAGCAGATTTGCTAAGTAAGTCTTTTGTTTGAACACTAAAGAATGTCACTGCCTTTAGTGGCAGAATTAAAAAAGAAAATCCGACTGCCCTCTCTCCTTCAGTACTTGGAGACAGGTCTTTATTCCTCATATAACACTAGGTCCTATGAAGAAAAGTACTTAATATTTACCTGTTTGTGGAATAGCTGGTCAGAGTGCAATTGGTTCCTTAATAGGGTAAAGCCTCTCCTGAATGTTCTGCATTGTCCCCAGCAAGTGGTCTGTGTACTGAGCAAACAGTCCAGACTCTTCCTTGTGTTTCCCAAACCTTCCTTTATTTTTAAAACTCAGCAGACCTCATCGAGTGCGTGGACACACGTTGGTGTGGGCCTTACTAGTTAATAAATAGGGCTCTGCATGTTTTGCTTCTTATTACTTTGGATAGTTGTAAGTCTGGAATTGTTTACCAGTCACAGGGAAGGAATCCTTCCCCCCCCCCCCCCCCCCATAAAAGAAGCCACAGATTTTGACTTAAAATGAACCCTAAAATTTCTAAGCCTTAGAGATGTTGTTTTCATTTTCTGTTGTTATATTTGACATTTTTAGCAGTGTGCTGTTGGAAATGTATTTGGAAAGGGTGTTAGTTCCTACCAACATAAAATGACTGGTGTGTCCCAGTATGTGGAGAACTTGGGGGATTGATGGGAGTTTGTCTTGGGGGAGAGCAGGCTGGTCTGTGGGGAGACAGGCAGTAAATGTAGTGGTGGACGGATGGGTGAGGGTAAGACTGACGTTCCTAGGGCAACACCGGGGGGGAGGGTGGGGGGACTAGGACTGAGCAGGTGAGCTTGTGCGAACACCTTGTGTTCACAGAGCTGGAAACACTTGGCCTTTTTAGCTCCCCTCCCCCACATCCTGGTGGTCACCAGGTCTTTTGACAGGCCTCTTGTCCATAGCCTGGCCACTCTCCTGTGTCCGCTGTTTCCTTTCATTCCCATCCCTGTTTCAGGCCCCGTCCTCTCCCTTCGAATGTCCCTGCCTTAGGATCAGTCTCCTGCCTCCAATCTCGTTATCCACACTGTAGCCACATCTCCAAATGGCCCTCTCCTGCTTTAACATACCTTTAATGGGGGCGCCTGGGTGGCTCAGTCGGTTAAGCATGTGACTCCTGTTTTGGCTCAGGTCATGATCTCACGGTTAGTGAGTTTGAGCCTCGAGTCGGGCTGTGCACTGACAGTGTGGAGCCTGCTTGGGATTTTCTCTCTCCCTCTCTCTGCCCCTTCCCTGCTGGCGCGGTCTCTGTCTCTCTCAAAATGAGTAAATAAGCTTAAAACAAAATACCTTAGTGGATCCCCCTCCCCCACTGCCCCAGGTAAGTCCAAACTAATTTACGGTGTGCTACAAGTTTTGATTTCCTCCTGCTTGCTTCTCCTCTTCTGTCCTTGACCTTCAGGCAGTCTGTACTTTCTCTCAGTAGCCTTCCCTGATTAACCAAGCCATTCTTAGATGCTTCTTCTGTTATGCTTCTGGAGCAACCTGTACCTCCACAAAGCGTGAGCGTTCGTTGATGACAGTATTGTTTCCTGCTTGCTTGTACGTAGTGCCTGTTAAAGTGAAGCCCTGTAAGAATAAGGGCCTTGACAGTCTTACCTGCTGTTGGCATACAGTAAATTTTGCCCAGTGAATGAACAGCCAGAATTCAGAGTAGCTCTGCCTCTTTTACAGAGCCTTTTCTTAACTCTTGTAGAGCTTTCTTAAAAGGGGCCTAATTTAGCAAGGGCTCAGGGGGTACTGTAGAGAAAGCAGCACCGGGGACCACCCCCATCAGCATTAAATGGGCTTATAACAGTGCCCATCTGAGAGTCCCTTGCTATCCCCGTGATTCCTTCCAGCCATTGCCCCATTTCTCAGCTTTCCTTTATAGCTACACTTGAAAGAGTTGTTTATAGTCTCCCTGTCTTCCCACTCCATCCATTATCTTAGGAACTCCGTTAGCCGTTTGTCCCCACAGTTCCCCAAAACTGTTGTCCATGATCAGCACACCAGTTAGGGGTGTTGAATTCTCTGTCCTCTTTTTAGCCAACCCAACTCTCACTTATGGACACAGCTGATTGCTCCCTCCTGGAAACTTTCTTTACTCTTCTTGGCTCTCCAGATACCTCACTATCCAATCTTCTGACTTCTAAGTACCAGAGTCACCTGGGGGACTATCTTCCCGCCTCTCTTCTGTCTGCATTCGCTCTCCAGATGGCCTTGTGCAGTTCCGTGTTCCAAGTACAGTTCTGGGCTCAGCCTCTTCATTGAACTTGAGTCCTGTAAAACCAACCACTTAATATCTTCACTCAGGTGTATGTTGGGTACCACAAACTTCAACACACCCAACGTAGCTCTTGATTTCCCTTCAGTGCACACACGCGCACACAGAGAGAGCGCGTGCGCGCTGCAAGATCAGAGCTACTTTTCCCTCAGTCTTCCAGTAGAGAGGATTATCACAGTTGTTGTGGAATCTTCCTTGCCTCCTCCCTCCCTCTCCCATGTGCCACAGCCAGTCCGCAATCTTGTCATTTTTGTCTTCAAAATATATCTAGTGTCTGACCACCTCCCACCACCTCTCCCTGCCCTCACCCTTGTCCATTGTTTTCTATTTCTATTGTCCAAGAGTTTTCTATCTTCTACTCCCCACCCCACCTTTCCGACTTGTTGCTATTTTTTTTTTTTTTTTTTTTTTTTAACACATCTAGCACATTCTTGACTCAGAGCTTATGCATCTGCTATTTCCTCTGTCTGGGGAGCTTCCCTCCCCCAGATATGTGCATGACTCGTTTTCTTCAGGCCTCTGTTCCACTGTTTCCTTACTAGTGAGTCCTTCCCTGACCACCTGTCTGCTGTCCACCTCAGATTGGGCTCACATGGGTGTCTCCTGGGCATAGAGGCTCAGAAGTGACTTCAGGTCTCTGTTTCCTTCTCGAGGTGCTCCTGAGTTCTTTTGTCTTTTTATTAAGTTTTTATTTTAATTCCAGTAAAGTTTCCATGCAGTTTTGTATTGGTTTCAGGTGTCCAATATAGTGATTCAACCATTCTGTATGTTACTCTCTCATCATAAGTGTGCTCTTTAATCCCCTTCACCTATTTCACCCATCCCCCCCACCCAGCACCCCTCTGGTAACCACCAGTTTGTCCTCTATAGTTAAGAGTCTGTTTCTTGGTTTGTCTTTTTCTTTTTTTTCCTTTGCTCATTTCTTTCTTTTTCTTTTTCTTTTCTTTTTTTCATGTTTGTTTATTTTTGAGAGAGAGACAGAGTGCGAGCAGGGGAGGGGCAGAGAGAGACAGAGAGAGGGAGACACGGAATCTGAAGCAGGCTCCGGGCTCTGAGCTTTCAACACAGAGCCAGACGTGTGGCTTGAACTCCCGGACTGGGCTGTGAGATCATGACCTGAGCCAAAGTTGGATGCCTAACTGTCTGATTCACTCAGGCGCCCCTGTTTTGTCTCTTAAATTCTACATGTGAGTGAGGTCATAGGGTATTTGTCTTTGTCTTTCTCTGCTGACTGACTTTGCTTAGCATGATACTTTTTAGCTCCATTCATGCTGTTGCACGTGGCGAGGTTTCATTCTTTTTTATGGCTGAATAATGTCCGTGTGTGTGTACCACATCTTCTTTATCCATTCCTCTCTGGATGGGCACTTGGGCTGCTTCCATTATGTGGCTATTGAAAATAATGCTGAAATAAACACAGGGGTGCATGCATCCCTTTGAATTAGCGTTTTTTCTTTTTTGTGGGTGGGGGGTAAATACCCAGTGGTGCAATTATTGTGGATTGTGGGGTAGTTCTATTTTTAATTTTCTGAGGAATCTCCATACTGTATCCCACGGTGGCCGCACCAGCTTGCGTTCATACCAACAGTGCATGAGGGTTCCCTTTTTTCCACAGGTCCTGAATTCTTAATAATTTGATTAGGCTTGGAAGAAGTGATCTCTGAAGTTTCTTTTACTTGAAAAAAAAACTGGTCACCGGGTTCTGGAAAAATGTCCTAGCTTCTGTATACACAGTTTTGGTCAGGAGGGAGGGAGAGAATCCATTCTATTCCAGACAGGCTACTGAGAACCTAACCTGGTAATATGATGAACGGTTTCCTGCTTTCAGTTTGGAATCGTGAGAAATTAGACTTCACAACTAGACTCCTGAAACTCAGTATCACACACACCGTAACGGTGACTTCAGTATTGTGTCAGTATCCGGCACAAGTTTAAGCTCTACGATTTGTTAACAAAATTGTATTTGTGTGTGTGTGGCTGAACAGAGAAAAGAATCGAAGCCCCACGTGAGCACTCTTGGTTCACATACGTGTCCTCGCTGCACAGCATGTTGCCTGGTATGTGCCAGATGCTCCAAAAATGTTTGTTGAGTGAATGAGCGAAGTGGATTCCTATCCAGCACAGCTTTCTAAGCGGGAAAAGAGCGCTCTATCTGGTTGGTCACACTCTCTCACATTGTAGGTGATAAGAGAACTCACTTGCACAGTAAGAGTTGAGCATAACGTGGCTAGTTTTTGCCCTTACGCCCATGCTTCTGCTTCCCTGTGCTTTCTAGGTCCCAAAGAGGACGAGAAGCCTTCGGCCTCAACAGCTGAGCAGACCGCCGTTCTTCAGGAAGCGGTTAGTCAGGATGTGCTTCCAGAACCGGTAGTCTCCCCCACTGCCTGCGCGCCCCACGCGGAACCCGAGGAGAAGCCAGAAACAGCGAACTGTGAGGTGAACGATTTGGAGGAAGAGGAGGAGGAGGAAGAAGATGAAGATGATGAGCTGGAAGAAGAGGGGGAGGAAGAAGCTGACACGCCAAATGAAAGTTCTGTGAAAGAGCCAGAAATTCGGTGTGACGAGAAGCCTGAAGATTTGTTAGAGGAACCAAAAAATGTTTCAAAAGACACTCTCGAAGGCTCTCCAGGGCTGACGCCTGTTAGCAGAACTCCCAAAACTAAGGAAGAGGCCAATGGTGATATGTTTGAAACGTTTATGTTTCCGTGTCAGCATTGTGAAAGGAAGTTTACAACCAAGCAGGGGCTTGAACGCCACATGCACATCCACATATCCACCGTCAATCACGCCTTCAAATGCAAGTACTGCGGGAAGGCGTTCGGCACCCAGATCAACAGGCGGAGGCACGAGCGGCGCCACGAGGCGGGGCTGAAGCGCAAGCCCGGCCTCACGCTCCAGCCGTCGGACGACCCGGCCGATGGCAGATCGTCCGGAGACAGCGTGGCTCCAAAGGACGACTCGACTCCTTCCGGTCTCGGGCAAGACTCTCTGCCCTTGCGTTCAGAGAAGGCTCCGCAAGAAAACGTCGGTTCTTCTGTTGCAGAAGAGAATGGGGAAGTGAAAGAGCTTCATCCGTGCAAATACTGTAAGAAGGTCTTCGGGACACATACCAACATGAGGCGGCATCAGCGCAGAGTCCACGAACGCCATCTGATTCCCAAGGGCGTGCGGCGGAAAGGGGGCCTCCTGGAGGAGCCGCACCCCCCCGCGGAGCAGGCCCCGCCCGCCCAGAGCGTCTACGTGCCCAGCACGGAGCCCGAGGAGGACGGGGAGGCCGACGACGTGTACATCATGGACATCTCCAGCAACATCTCTGAAAACTTAAATTTCTACATCGATGGCAAAATTCAGACCAGCAGCAGCACGAGTAACTGTGACGTGATTGAGATGGAGTCCGGTTCGGCCGACTTGTACGGCATCAATTGCCTGCTTACTCCGGTCACGGTGGAAATCACTCAGAATGTAAAGGCCACACAGGCCCCCGTAGCCGACGATCTTCCTAAAGAGCCTTCCAGCGGCACGAACAGTGAGTCCAAGAAACGGAGAACGGCGAGTCCTCCCGCGCTCCCTAAAATCAAAGCCGAGACGGAGTCTGAGCCCTCGGTGCCCGCGTGTTCCTTACTGCCTCTCAGCATATCAACTTCGGAGGCGGTGTCTTTCCACAAAGAGAAGAGTGTGTACCTGTCGTCGAAGCTCAAACAACTGCTTCAAACCCAGGACAAACTAACGCCTCCTGCGGGCATTTCGGCCACGGAAATACCGAAGTTAGGTCCCGTTTGCGTGTCTGCTCCCGCGTCTATGCTGCCCGTGACCTCGAGTAGGTTTAAGCGGCGGACCAGCTCTCCCCCCAGTTCCCCACAACACAGTCCTGCCCTCCGAGACTTTGGAAAGCAAAGTGATGGCAAAGCGGTGTGGACCGATGCCGTTCTGGGTTCCAAAAAACCCAAATTAGAAAGTCATAGCAACTCACCAGCGTGGAGTTTGTCTGGGAGAGAGGAGAGAGAAACGGTGAGCCCGCCAGGCTTTGATGAATACAAAGTGTCTAAGGAGTGGGCAGCCGGTCCTACTTTCAGCAATGTGTGCAACCAACAGCCGCTGGACTTATCCAGCGGTGTCAAACAGAAGGCCGAGGGCACAGGCAAGACCCCGGTCCATTGGGAATCTGTATTAGACCTCAGTGTGCATAAGAAGCCTTGTAGTGACTCTGAAGGCAAGGAGTCGAAAGAAAACCATCTGGTGCAGCCAGCCTGCAGTGTCATAAAGAAAAAGAAGCCAACCACCCGCATGCTGCAGAAGGTTCTTCTCAACGAGTACAACGGCGTCGATTTACCCGCAGAGAATGCTGCAGACGTGACCCGGAGCCCGAGTCCTTGTCAATCCCTGGATCCCCAGCCAGACTCTGGCCTCGGCCCTGAAGCTGGTTTATCGACCCCTGTGGTCGAGTCCCCACCTGATGTCTCTCCTTCCTCGCCTGCCCTGCAGACATCTTCCCTTTCTGCCGGGCAGCTGCCTCCTCTCTTGATCCCAACGCATCCCTCTTCCCCCCCGGCCTGTCCTCCTGTGTTGACTGTTGCCACGCCACCCCCTCCACTCCTTCCTACTGTCCCTCTTCCGGCCTCCTCTTCTGGGGCGTCTCCCCGTCCGTGTCCCTCTCCGCTCTCGAATGCTACCGTGCAGTCGCCACTTCCCATTCTGTCCCCTACGGTGTCCCCCTCGCCATCTCCCATCCCTTCCGTGGAACCTCTCACGTCTGCTGCTTCGCCCGGACCCCCGACCCTTTCCTCATCTTCTTCCTCGTCGTCTTCTTCATCTTCGTTCTCCTCTTCTTCCTCTTCCTCTTCCCCCTCGCCGCCGCCGCTCTCGGCAGTTTCATCCGTTGTTTCCTCTGGGGATAATCTGGAAGCTTCTCTCCCCATGATAACTTTCAAGCAGGAGGAACTAGAGAATGAAGAGCTGAAGCCCAGGGAAGAGCCCCAGTCTGCAGTTGAGCAGGAGATTGTTCAGGAGACGTTCAACAAAAACTTTGTCTGCAATGTCTGTGAATCACCTTTTCTTTCCATTAAAGATCTAACCAAACATTTATCTATCCATGCTGAAGAATGGCCCTTCAAATGTGAATTTTGTGTGCAGCTCTTTAAGGCTAAAACTGATCTGTCGGAACATCGCTTTTTGCTTCATGGAGTTGGGAATATCTTTGTGTGTTCAGTTTGTAAAAAAGAGTTTGCTTTTTTGTGCAATTTGCAGCAGCACCAGCGAGATCTCCACCCCGATAAGGTGTGCACACACCATGAGTTTGAGAGCGGCACGCTCCGGCCCCAGAACTTCACAGACCCCAGCAAGGCCCACATAGAGCACATGCAGAGTTTGCCGGAAGACCCTCTAGAAACCTCGAAAGAAGAAGAAGAATTAAATGATTCCTCTGAAGAGCTCTACACGACCATAAAAATAATGGCTTCTGGAATAAAGACAAAAGACCCAGATGTTCGACTGGGTCTGAATCAACATTACCCAAGCTTTAAACCACCTCCATTTCAATACCATCACCGAAACCCCATGGGGATCGGCGTGACGGCCACAAATTTCACTACGCACAATATCCCGCAGACTTTCACCACCGCCATTCGCTGCACAAAGTGTGGGAAGGGTGTAGACAACATGCCAGAGTTACACAAACACATCCTGGCATGTGCCTCTGCTAGTGACAAGAAGAGGTATACCCCTAAGAAAAACCCAGTCCCTTTGAAACAGACTGTGCAGCCCAAGAACGGCGTGGTGGTTTTCGATAACTCGGGGAAAAATGCCTTTAGACGGATGGGACAGCCCAAGAGACTGAACTTCAGTGTCGAGCTCAGCAAGATGTCCTCAAACAAGCTCAAGCTAAATGCATTGAAGAAAAAAAACCAGCTTGTCCAGAAAGCAATCCTGCAAAAAAACAAATCTGCAAAGCAGAAGGCCGACCTAAAAACCGCCTCCGAGTGCTCCTCGCACATCTGCCCGTACTGTCACAGAGAGTTCACGTACATCGGGAGCCTGAATAAGCACGCCGCTTTCAGCTGCCCCAAAAAACCGCTTTCTCCTTCCAAAAAAAAAGCTGCCCACTCATCCAAGAAAGGTGGACACCCGTCACCTGCAAGTAACGACAAAAACAATAGCGGCCACCGCAGGCGGACCGCAGACGCTGAGATCAAGATGCAAAGTGTGCAGGCACCCCTGGGCAAGACCAGGGCGCGCAGCTCAGGCCCGGCACAAGTCCCGCTGCCCTCGTCGGCCTTCAGGTCCAAGCAGAATGTCAAGTTCACGGCTTCGGTGAAGTCCAAAAAGCCAAGCTCCTCCTTAAGGAACTCAAGCCCCATAAGAATGGCCAAAATAACCCACGGCGAGGGGAAAAAACCCAAAGCTGTGGCCAAGAATCATTCTGCTCAGCTCGCGAGCAAGACGTCCCGGAGCCTGCACGTGAGGGTACAGAAAAGCAAAGCCGTCTTACAGAGCAAATCCGCTCTGGCCAGTAAGAAAAGAACAGACCGGTTCAATGTAAAATCTAGAGAACGGAGTGGGGGGCCAGTCACCCGAAGCCTCCAGCTGGCAGCTGCTGCCGAGCCGGGCGACAGCAGGAGGGAGGATGGTGGTGGCAAGCAGGAGCTGAAGGACTTCAGGTAAGCCGAGGCTTCCAGGGCCACAGGAGAGCCGAGCTGCCGAGCGCGGGGGGGAAGACGGTCAGAAGACAACAATATTCTTGCCCGATGGCTATTTTTTCCTTTTTCCTGTAGAATTTTGACATAAGCATTTAAAGGAAGTAGCTGTTGGTTAATTACGTTGGAGGCACGAAGAAGGGTCACTGCTGGGCTGCCTCAGCCACGAATTCCCAGCTTTTGTTTCAGACCTAGGACTCAGCACGTGGTACCATTTCTCTAACAGGGCCAGTTGTGAATTGAAACCATGAAAAGTGTTCAGAATCACAAGTACCCTATTAATGAAAAGATGAAATTTTCTCACACTTCCTTCGTATCTCGGGTAACATCTCAGTGTCTCTTGTTGTTATTATTCCGGATCATAGATCATTGCTTAGAGTTAAGGTAGATCATTGAGTTCATTGAAACCACACTGCAATCTTGTTGACTATTTCTGTGACTGGAGCCTAGTTACAGTCACTGAGGATGCTTTTATTATCATGTCTTCTTTTTATTGTGTTTTAATTTGGAAAACTTGCTTCAGATTGGTTATGGAACAAAACACGACACCATATTCCTTTTTAAGATGCCTTACGTCCCCCGACCCGCGCCCCGCCACCAGTTATAGGATAATGAAACAGGCCAGATTCTGAAGAAAGGACAGGAGGGGGCGCTGAGAGCCGTGCGGAGCCGGGCAGTTCCCTTGGGCCGGTGTGGCAGCCCAGGGCAGGTCAGCCCCGTGGGTCAGCGCCTTCGTTCCCCCAGCAATGGTGTAAGAGTTCGTCTTAGGTGGGAGGTGATTTCACAATTTTATTCCGTGTCCTCCCCGTATTAAGACTGTCCTCAGCGGCACATAAAAACACAGGGCAGTAGTTCAACTTGTTATATTGGCTTCTCAGACTTTCCAACTTAACTCAAGTAACCCGAGTTGATAGGAGTTTCCTGCATAATGCCTACAGGTGAATCCCGCGTGAAGTGCTCAACCACAGAATTTCTGTAAGACACTCTAAAAGCTTGTCCTTTCAGGGTGAGCTGCTGGGCTCTAGGCTTTCTTGGCGACCACTTTCAGTGTCTGAAGCTCTTCGGTGTTTCAGGCAAACCATTAGAGTGAATTCTGGGGCGTGTCTGCCGTTTCGGAGACTTGGAGGTGCTGTTCTCAGCGCGCAGGTGATGAGGTGGCGTTCTTGGGGCTGGTGTGCCTTACGTGGTGGCTGAAGAAAGAGGTGGAGAAGGGTCATTAGCCAAAGGCCGATTGGAATGATTTACTGTAGGAGTGAAGGGTTCCATTTCAACAAGCGATTTTCGTAAGTGAACTAAATGATCAGTTGTGATAGTTCCAGTTCGGCATCTGGTCTCTGGCCACGGCACAGGCCTGTGTGTAGCATCTTGGAGCTTCGCCCTGGTGAAAATATGCACCTGTTTATCGGCTGTTCAAGCTGCCTGCCTGTAGCAGTTTAACGGCGTACCTGTTTGTGCTCATTCTGTGTTCCGGAAGTTCCACAACAACAGGGTGTTCTTAAGCCGAGTTTTGTTTTTTTTTTTTTTTTAAGGTTAGAGAACCAGAAAATGCCATCATGTTCACTGACTGTACTGAAAAAACATCTCCCAGGTGGTTGATGCTTTAGAATGTACTATGTGCATCCCTGTTTGTCTGCAATATTACCTAAAAGAATCACTCATTTTTGTACTGGTTCCTATTTCTACAATTCAAGAGTGAGGTTATGAAAAATCAAAGTACTATAAAGAGAAACTCTCTGAGTAACCATACAGTTATGAGGTTCATTCCCTTAGCTCTTCCTCCTCCAGTGCTTTTTTGAAGAACCCTTAACAGTGCAAAGGACCAAAGTGCCTAATAAAATTGTGTCTCTCTCCTTTGCTCCAGTTAATTTTCATTATTTTGCTTTATTTGATAGTTAACAGGGGGTTACGTTGCTGGACTGGATTGAGCCTAAAAGGAAACACGGAAGAGTCTGTTAAGCAAACATGGCTATTGTTCCTGACAGGCAGATGGTAGCAGCAGGCCTCCCTGTTTGCAGGAGTCGCTGGAACTGTATTGTGGGCACATCCGAAGGATGTGTGTCTCACACGGGGAGCTGCTTACAAGTGACCATAAACTTGTGAAGTATTTTTGGGACGTAAAAACCAAATGTTCAGTAGGACATCATACTTAACTCATCTGGACACAAGAGTGGGCATTTCCTCAGAGAGTTTATTCTTCTTAGCGCCTTATACAAGGTGCATTAGGTATGAAACTGGGATTCCTGAGCTCTGGCCTGGGGAAGGTGGTGGGTCATCACTGGCCAGCCCAGGGCTCTTGGAAAGCCAGCCTCATCATCCTCGCAGGTTGGACGTGTTACACTGGAAAGGAGCTGTTTTAATCTGTAGTCTCTGTCCTTTCTCAATATGTTCCTGCTTGTAAATTTTATTCAGGGATGGTCTCATGGCGCATATCTAGAAATATTTGCTTTGACTTTGTTTTCAGCATTAGCCCCTTGCGTATTCAAGGACCTCACAGAACTGGCAGCACATGTTTTCCTGGGTGTTTCGTTAAAACAGACTGATGAAGAGCTAGTCTCCAGCACTCAGACATTTTACATTTGAATGCCAGTTGAGGATTCCACAGGTTTTTGAAGCCATGTGAGTGAAGTCAGAGTTTCCCATTCAGTGCTGAGGGTTCAGCAGAACTTGCCAGTCGGTCATTTCCTGGAGCACAAGACATTGTGCCAATCAGGGTGTCAGAAAGACCTGTGTTCCGAATCCTCCTCTTAGGACAGAGCAGCAGAGGGCACCAGGCATGCCACCCGTCTTTAGATTGTCCTGTCACACCTTTCAGCCCAGCGAACCCTGTGTTGGGCTCCCCTTCCTCAGTTAGCAGCCGGAACTCCGCTGCGTCCTATGGGACCGAAGTTCCATCTGTCGCTGAGGGCTCATTTCCACCTGGCGTAAGACAGAAGGACGAGGAGAGAGATGCATTCTCTCCTCCTATCCACCCCTCTTCAGTCTTTGTAAATTTCAAGGTGTTTTTACATTTTTTTAATGCTCCTTTTAGAGCAGCTTCTAAAAAGTACTGTGTTCCCATTGAACACTAAAAGGTGAAAAGGCAAACTGAAATAACAGACCAAGTTTTCCCATTTGCCATGAATTGATTTAAAAACTACAGTGATGCTAATTTTTTTACATGCCCACCTCTGCCATACACCAGTCCAAAGAGACCCGCTTGTGGTCCCTTCCAGCTTTTTTTGCGTAGGATGCCCAGGTTCCTGTATACCTTCAGAGGTGTTCTTTTGCTGTCATGGTAACATCTGTTGAATGGTCTGCTTGTCTTTTCCTGAACGTGGTCAGTTCATACTGGGTTACGTTGCGTTGGCATTTATCTTCAGTTTTCTTGTTTTCTAGGAACTTCCTGTAGAAAAGCCCCCAAACAAAACAAACTTTAATTGACTAAATAAAGACATTGCATGCTCAACTTAGGATAAGCACTACAGCAAAGGATACGAAATCTGCCAAGCTTGCGAGGCCAGTTGAAGCTGTCTCGCAAATCCTAACACACAACTGATTGTCGGCAGGCTTCTTGTTGCCCGGCTTAGGGTCAGGGTCTCCTGCTTCGCTGGAGCCCGGCTCCTGGCGTGTGCCTGGCTCCTGGGTGATGGGGCCACAAGGAGGAGGGCACGTCGCCATGGCACTGGGGGCTCGGATCGAAGTGCGGCCCTGGCGCTTGGCACACAGCAGAGAAAGGAACGATTTGAACTTCTTACCTTGCAAAGCAAGTTCAGTTTTAGGAGAAGTTTTTGTAGATTTCAGGGATGACAAATTCTGATGCACTCATTCTAAAATGTTTTGGTCACACACCAGCTCTTTATGCCTTTCTTTTAAATGAGTTCTGTACGGAGAGGCACTTAGCGTCTTTCAGCCTTTTTTTTTTTTATTTGTTTGTTTAAATATATATCACAAGCAGATTGCCAGCATAATGGAGAGGAAACCAGATCAGGATTGGATATGGACTTTTTAAAAAATGCTTTATCCAGCATCATGTTTATATATCCAAATGGACCTTGTCCTCTCGATTGATTATCTGGCACTAATTCATAACCATTATATTATCGGACACTGCGTAGCAATATGTCCGCGCCCAGGATGCACCCCAGGCCTCTCTAGATGCATATCTACACGTAAGTATAAATGAATTTATACATGCCAGGTTTTACACTTCGGTCTCTAAGAGCAAAAAACCTACAGATTGGCCTCTTCCAGAGGATGTAAGTGTCATTTCTCCGTGCATTCTATGCCTCCCTTCTTAATGACTGAGTTGGTGGAAAATGGCTTGGTTTTATTCATGTTGATTTTTGTTCTCAACTTCAAAAGTAATCTACCTCTGAAAATGTGTAGTTTGATGCTTGTTCGGTGACTTTGTGCCACTTCAACCCTCTCACGACCATTCCCGTTTTGTTACATTTCTGTTATGGGGACTTTGTGTTGAAATGTTGTGTAAAGCATTTGTAGCAGTTTAAAAATAAAATATTTAAAATTATTTAAATTGTTTTGGACACTTCAATTGTATTATATATGATTTACGTTTTACATTTCTGTTCGCGTTGTTAATCTGGAGAGTGTTCTTGTATTGAAGTTTGCTGTGAGTTGTTTTATTGTTCTTGGAGAGTGATATAAAAGACTATTCTAACACAAACATTAAAATTTACAATTTGACGTACAAAAGGGGTTGTCCGTTGACTTTAACCGATGTAGCCTTGAGAGAGAGAGAGGGAGAGGGAGAGGGTCATTATAGACAGGCGTGCCATTCGCTATTTTCCCCCTTCTGGCGTGAAATAAATCATTGAGCTTGTCAGCTGTATAAAGAGTGTGTTTATGCTGTTACCAGCGAGCACTTAATAACTAGAGGGAATTCAAGCGATACGTTTTATATCATTGTAACCAATAAAACCACTTTCTAAACCCTCGTGAAAGGACTGCTTTTGTACATCCTGGGG